GCTCTTAATATGGATCATAACTTTGGGTTTGGGCTAATGGAGGAAAATCCAACATATATACACCTCTTGTTAAGTTCCAAATCTTAAAACATATTTTCAGAAGAAAATAAATAAGACAGCCGTTTCTAAATGAGTTTATTAGAAATAAAATAAATAAAAGTATGTAAAAAAAGGAGAAAAAACCTCTTAGTCGATAGACTTTGCCATATTTGTGAACTTTTTAATGAAATTTGCCATTTATCATAGATCAATAGTATTTAGTTATAATAAAAAATAGAAAATAATTATTTTTACTTTATATATATTTATTTTTATAAGCAATATAATATTATATTATAAATCTAATTCATTTATCAATCCGCGGTCCACCCACGGTCGACCCAATGACCCGGACCGTCATCCAGTTAAGTGTTCGGGTCGGTTTTCAAAATATTGTACTTAGGTATGCATTCGCTGTTTTATAGCATTTTCATTGGAAAGTTTATATATGAATGTCTCACAACTTAAAAATAACAAATTAGAAAGAAAAAAAAAATGTATAGAGAAAATTAAAGAAAAAAAGTTCTTAAATGAGAACAGCTGAGCCGCCTATGAGATCTATAAAAAGGCTATGAGTGATGTGTTGTTTCCGTCGTTAAGGTCTGTCTAGTAGAGACTTGTGTACGCCTTTGCCTTTGATCAAACTTAAGTAGAAAAACCAATGGGGTTTTCATGACGCTGGCGGCGAGGGAAGTTTGCAGGGCTAAGATCTTATAAAGACTGGGAACAAGTTGATCAAAGAAGCGATTTGTATGGTAACTAGAATGGAGGTGGTATTATATTTTATAGTGACCTTGGTATCTTTCTAGCAAAGCATGGGACCTTGGGTAGGTTTCTTCTTTACAAGCTTCCTAAATTTTTGTTATTACCGATGAAAGGAATAACTATTATGAAAACTTTTTATTCGCTTTTAGATTATTTAGTTAAAAATGAGATCAGATAGATGACGGCTATAACTGATGTTTAAATAGATGTGGCTAGTTGTTCATAAAAAAAAAAAGTGGATAAAGATCGGAATAGTGAGCGCCAATGGATACAAATCCTCTTCGATTATGCGCCTTTGGTGTTGACCATAATTCAATGAAGAACTGTAATGCCGTGTAGGTCTATTTCGATTGTGTTAGTAGTTTATTCTCGAGTCATGTGGTCGAATTTTAGAGGTTTAAGAGATGTATCTCACTTGAGTCGTGGAGTGAAATCATTCTCGTCGTGGTTGAAAATGCAATATATTTAGTTAGGTAATGTTGAATCTACATAAGTATTTAAAATGATACTAGCACCACTGCATTCGTGGACAAATATGTTTGTACTTTGGAATTGGTGAAATTAAATTGAGATATTGAGCCATAAAAACAGAGTAGTACGTAGATAATGAATAAGAAGATGTCTAAAAAGATTTGCATGACTGATTTGTAAAAACTGATGATACATTTCATTCAATATTTTTATTGGAACACAAGTAAAAGCTGAAATAGTCAAAGACTGATATCTTCATAAACTCATGTGTGAATGATGACTCTGACTCCGGGAAGGCCACGCGGAACAGCTAGTCTTATGGCTCAAGAGTGACTCACTAAAAGCCATACGCGTGGTGCTCAAATCGAATTCGATCATATAGTCCTGAAGCTGATGTGACCCAATGACCATCGGCTCATTAGGTTTCTTTCCTCCGTCGACGAACGCCAAACAAATCACCGTCTCCAATACTCTCACCACCGTATTCGCACCGTGAAACCTCCACTTCACCTCCCCTGCCCGCCCTGGCAGCCCAATTTCTATCACTGGCACGTTCATGAAGTCCTCTACGTTCCTCTTGGAAGTACCTTCGTCGAAGCAAATTTCGAATAGCGTAGTAGTAAGTCCTGGGAACTCATACATTCCTGGGACCTGAGACATACCTATTTTCTGTACAAAACATATTTAAATCCAAACCGATATGATCAGCAATCTATTAAACACAAATATTTCTTAATTATCGCATATCAAAAATCAAATTTATTAGTTCATTAAATAAAATAGTCTTGTTATTTGTGTGTAATATATAGATTTAACTACGTTTTCACAGATAACAAAACTAAAATAGTTGTTTTTGCTGTTTACATATTTGAACTAATTAAAATAAAATATTTTGTTATTTGTATATTAATATAGTTATATGTATATATCAGTATCAAAATAAAAAGAGTTTGTTATCTAATTAATACCTTTGCTTCACGCGTAAATGCACTAGCAAGAGCCTTGTAGATATCCGTTTGCAGGACGGTGTAAGGAACCACCGTGCTGATCTTTGCTCCGCCTTGAAGCAAACTTGGGTTCAACGATAAAGGTACTCCGCCAACGTAGATTGACTCGACGGAGATTACATATTTTCCCGAGTCAATGTTTTTCAACGGCGTCAAAGTCATGGGCATACGATTGCTACCATTGAACGGCGGGATATTATAGCTGTTAACGCCACCGACATAGAAGTGACCGGGGTCGAAGACGGAAGAAGGCAAGCAGAGAGCGAACTTCGGGATGACGTTAAACGCCGTCGTCACCTGTCTCCAAAACGGGGACTCTCTAGCCGGAGAAAGACCAAGAACTCCGGTCATGGGAAGGGAAAGGCCTTGGGTGGCGCAGGAGAATGTGAAGCGAGGGAGAGAGACTTGGGAGAGCTGTCTTCCGCCGTCTGTAGTGGAGAAGGTGGCTTTGTCTTGAACGACACGGCCGGTGACGGGTTTGCCGAGAGGGTTTGGTTGACGGTATTGACAGTATTTACGGTCGCAGCCACTGCCGGGGATGGATTTGCACGTGGAGCTCTTGCAAGAGATGAGGCGGAGTGATTTTAAAGATTTGAGTTGGCGGCAGTTGAGCCAGGATAGTTTGGTTTCGAGATCGAGGATGAGTGTAGGGTAGGACTTCTCGACGGAGCCGATGTCGAAAGCGGTGTAGTATTGTTTGTAGGGTTCGGCTTTGTTGATCGGAAGAAGGTATTGGGCTTCTGATATAAGAGTTATGGAGGCAAAGATGGAGATAAAGATGATGAGGTGCGTAAGGCCACCCATGTCTGTGTTTTCTAGGGTTTTTTCGTGTTTCTTTTGTGAATGTGATTGTGTGTTTGTATGAAGATAGAGTACTGACTTACTGTAGATGCATGGTATTTATAAACGTAAAATGAACTTTGTATGATTAAAGATTTGTATCTAAGAAAATGAAAAAAATGGTATTTTATAATACTTAATAGTTTAATATTTTGAGCACATTTTATATGTTTTCAAATGTTTAAATTACGGGCACTTCCGCGTAACGAGACTAATATTTATTTATTTTTGGTAAAAACGAGACTATTATATGCATGGTGGCTACTTGTTATTTTCTTATTTTTTCTCGAAGAAGTTAGTTAGCTGACTTTTTATGCTAGATCTTAATATATGATCAAGTCTTGCTGGATCGTGAAATTGATTAAGAAATACATACACAACTAGTAAATAATAACCATCACATATTCACATGTTAAAATTAAACTACATTGGTTCATGGCAATATTTTCATTATTTTTTTAAAAACTATATAAAGATATCCTGACCTCTATCAAAGTAGGTCCAGACTAGCTATGTGTTAACATTTTTGATACACGTCTTGGTCTTATATATTTGGCGATACCAAAATTTAAATTCTTCAGTGGCCGAAATTCAAACCAAAATGGTTTTAAATTGCCTGAAACACTAACTCATAGCTCATATCTAGATAACTCTTGACACCTAACTCATCATAGAGTATTAAGCTATATGATATCTATACCTCTTGTTAAGGTCCAAATCCTAAAACATGCTTTCACAAATAAGCTATATCTATACATCCTGTTAAGCTCCAAGTCCTAAAACATGCTTTCACAAATAATTAGGCTGGTTGTTTTTAAAAGATTTATCAAAGATAAAATAAACAAAAAGTATGTAAAAAGAGAGGACAAACTCTTGTTCTAGAGTTTGCCATATTTGTGAAACTTTTTTGAAATTTGTCATTGTTCATAGTTTGGATTGAGAAATTCTACCTACTGATGATGGTCTTAGCACTTAATAAAGGGAGATCAAGTACAAGAGTTTATTAGAGTATTTGCAATGGGAGTTTTTAAGGGGGAAGTTTTTAGGAAAAAAATAATTAAATAATCAATGAACTCCATAAAAAGTTAATGATTAGTGGACTCCATAAAAAGTTAAGGATTCAATCCTTAAAATCTCTAAATAATTTTTTTTTTCGATGAATCATTCCACTATTTGCGGGTCCTCACGAAACGTGACGGTCAGCGATTAGTTGATATTTTCTGCTTTTTAATCTAAAAAAATATAATAACTAAAAAATAAAATAAAATAAAACATTTTTCTAAAAAGTCCAATGGAGTTCACATGGTGTTCTCAAAAAAGAAGAAGATATTTCACTAAGAAGATATATCTACCAAAAAAAAAGTTTACAAATGAGAGTGTTGCATCAAAGCGACTGCTCAAGGCTACTTCTCTTGTTCATTTAACCAGCATATTTATATTTACTATTTGCTAGGAAACCCTACATACATCATTTTTTTCACTTATTAAAAGTTGAGAACATTTCCAACCATTGCTATTTTTTATATCTACAATAGTATTTAAAAGTAAAATTAGTCCAACCCATTTCTATTCCTTCCTCTATACAGATTGTTATATTTTCCTTTATTTATAAAGGAAATATTTATCTATTTTTTGCTTTATATTTAGAAATTCCTACTTTAGAGAAATATATTAGAACAAACTTCATCTATATTATAGGATTCTTCTATTTTAAAAATCGAAATAGCAAATACGTTGGAGATGGTCTTATAGATATAATATCGAACTTGTTGCTTAGACTTGTAGCGTTGGACTCCAATACATGGATTGTTTGTTTTAAGTTCGGGGTCCTACTCTGAATCCTATCTCTTAAGGGGACTGAATGTAGAGGCAACTCTTACTTTCTCTATGGATCACCAAATGAATCTAAAGACTACTGTTTTTCTGCAAGAAGTCATGGACAATATATGAGCCCAATCTCACTTTTCATAGTTACCAAAATTTTCCCGTTGTTCAGCGTCCCATTTAACAACTGTCACGTGGAATTTATAACACTACCAAATCAACTGATTTCCAGTTGGCGAAGTAGGCATAAACCTTACAAGATTACGAATATCGAAAAATACTAAGAAAATATGTCTTGCCACGTGCCAAAAACTCCGCTAATCGTCTCCTGTTTCTTCCCGCCGTTCCGTCTCGGTAATCACTGACAAAGCCTCAGATGAATACACATTCGAAGTTAAATCAATCGAAAGCTAACGGAATGGTGGTTTCTTTGGAGAGTTCAATACTCTCTAAGCTCAACACCGTGACTCTTTCACCGCATTTTTTCTAATTACGAACGTTTTGTTAACGAATTCAAAGCCAAAGTCAAGGCGAAGATGGTGTCTCCTTTCGAGGTATGTTATAGAGTGAAGAAATGTTTTAAAATGGAAGATGTTCCAGTGATTCATCTAACGGTGGGGAAGAGTGGCGGGAGATGGAGAATCTACGGCTGGAATTCAATGGTGGTTGTGAAGAAGAAAGGTGTGATGTGTTTGGCGCTTGTGGAAGGGGGAGATGGAGAAGAGATGATGGTGATTGGAGGGTATCAGATGGAAGAGATAACTTGGTGGAGATTGATCTTCATTTATAGCTTAGTTTCACTTCTTCTCTTCGTCAACATAACACTTTTTGTTCTTGTTTTAGACCAGTTGCAATAGATTGGTGTTTTAAAAACAAGAACTCGTGAATGGATCGTCATTTGCTCGACGAACGTATTTCATTTTCTGGACAACAAAATGTAGTGAAACCACTGTAAACTTTTGAGGTTCGTTTACCTTTTTTCTTGAATCTGGCCCAAGAATGCTACGACCACAAGTCAAGTTAACACAAGCCCGAAAATGAAAACATTAGGGAGAGAACGTATTGTATTTGAGAGGATTTGAAATTATTTAGTTTGTAATAATTTTAAGTTAAATAAGAGAGTAAAGAAAGTAAAATTTCTTATGTTTTTAACTACCAAACTCTAGTAAAATACCTTAAAATCACAACAAAATCCATAAAATCAACTTAAAATATTAACTGGAACTGCTTATCAAATACCAAATATACTTCTGCTTTTTAATTTAAAGTTTGTGCACACAAAAAATTACTCGATGGTCAGATGCTAGAAAAAATATGTAGGAACCCATGAGAGATTTTTTTGTCCAGACAGTAATTAACACTTCAGATTGATAATGTGTTTATGTATCCGATGAATGATACCAAGACGGCAAGACCACATGGTTCCCATGATGTGTTATTTATTATGATACTAGATGCGATGGTTATAACGTAGAGATGCGACAAATATATATGAAGGAATCCATATGAGATTTTCTGTCGTGAGTCTCGTAACAGTAGTAGTTAACATGCAGATTACATGTAATACAAACTATGTATTCGCTTAATGATATGTAGACCACATGGTTCACATGATGTAATCTTTTTCGAGATCTCTCGCGTGGAAGCCCTAGAAATTATATGTTTTTCAAATCCATGTGTCTATCTCGTGTAAATTGTATTAGGTAACAGTTCCGTACTTACGCATGCATGATCCCAATGATTCTTAGTGGTTTTTAGAGCTATCATCATTTTAAAAAAGTTCACAAGTGAGTATTTCACATAAGAAGAAAATACTTAAAAGGACAAGAATAAATGAGAAGGGGTTTGCACCAGATTTATTTGGTCAGTATGTGTCTCAGTACTTTCTAACCATGAGTGGCAGGTTGGATATAAAAGCATCAGTATGTGTCTCAGTACTTTGCACCAGATTTATTTGGTCTCTCGAAGACCGATTCACCTTTTTATGGAGCTTAATCTCTGCCCCCATCGCTCACTGAGTTTAAGTGATAAACTTCTATGGAGCATTATGTTGATGGAAGCGCCCTGTTTCTTCAGTTCGTTCAAGAATATTTATCCTGATGCGCAAGATTTGCCGGTATGGCAAGGTTTCTAGTCCCAGTATCATGACCTCATTGCCTTTGTTGCAGAGGGTCTAGCCTTTTTATGCATGTCAAAGCTTGTCTGCAAATCAGACTGTCATGAACTCACTTGCCTCCTTTCAGAGAGTTGGCCTTTTGATGTTCTTGGATCTTATTCGCTATTCGATCCTCTATCCTATGTTATGTGTTTTCTTATGCTTGTAATATAGCAAGATTGCCTTTCTGACTTTGTATTTCCTTTGTGATGAAGGTTAAGACTTATGATTAATGAAGTGTTGTTTGTCCAAAAAAAAAATGAGAAGGGGTTTCAAAATGGAAACGGCTGAGCCGCGGCCACGATCTATGCAAAGTTCATAAGTGAAACAGATGTTAAGCTAGATGAATTTTTAACCTAACACTAATTTGGTGATATGTGGATTGTTACATTTATTTTATTTCTTATTTATGTTTATTTCACTTTTCGATATATGGGAGACTTTTTTTTTCAAATACATCTTTTCGAGATAATAATTATTTGAAAGCCAATTTAATATTTAGATAAAGATTGAAGAACTAACTTTTGACCAGATCGATTGTGTACGTCAGGTTCCCTTATCGTGTCAAGGTAGATGAACTTTTGATCTAAAAATAATTAGTGATAACTGGATTTGTTCTATCTATTTTATATATTATATATTTAGCATCTGTTTTTAATTTTTGATGTGAAATATTTTATCTCAAACAAGAGAGTTGGTTGTTGTTTTGATGTTAAGGTTTGCCAAGTAGTTTCAGTAAAAAAAAAAGGTTTGCGAAGTAGTATAGTAGAAACTCCTGAAAGTAGAAGAAGGACTGAGCCGCGAGGGTTATCTTCTAAGAAAGCTTGGTGGACCTTGGATAGATTCTTTAGAGACTTTCTATTTTTATTATTCATAATGTAAGAAATAACAATATATATGGAAATATGTTATCTAGTATAAAAGGGAATCTAGATGCTGGGAACGGCTGATGTTTAAATAGAGTAGCAAGTAGATCATTTTTTTTGCTAAGATAGAGTAGTAAGTAGATCATGAAATAAAAGTTGGAAAAGAGAAGAACATAAACTATTTATATTTTTAAAATTTGCATGTCTAAGTTTTACAAGTCTCTTTAATTAGTTAACCAAATATAGAGGATCGACCAAAGATGATGTTTAGGTAATTATATTGTCTATTAATAAATATGTAAAATTCTTAAATATTAGACGAATATTAACTTATAACAGAAATAAAATAAACAATACATTTAAGAGAAATTGATGATGGATTTATTCAAATTTTGATTGGTGGAACAGACGTAAAAGCTGAAATGACATATGTGATTGATTTTAAATAAAGGGAGGCCACGTGGAATAGCTAGTGTTATGGCTCAAGAGTGAATCACTAAAAGCCATAAGCCTGGTGCTAAGATCGAATTCAGTCATATAATAAAAGTTAACTTATAAGAAAGTTATAAAAGTTTTACTGTATTAGTAAATGTGCGAAATTCTTAAACATTAGGGGGGAAATTAACTTATAAGAAAGGAAAATAAACGATACATTTATTATCGATAATTTTATCCAAATTTTGATTGGAACACACAAGTAGAAGCTGAAATATCAAAGAGGATCTCTTAATGCCATGTGTGATTGATTTTATCTCTGGGAAGGCTACCTAGAGCAGCTAGTGTTATGGAGCACAAGTGGGTCGCTAAAAGCCATTCGCGTGGTGCTAAAATCGAATTCGATCAAATATTCTTGAAGTTGCTGTGTCCCAATGACCATGGACTCATTAGGATTCTTTCCTCCGTCGACAAACGCCAAACAAATCACCGTCTCTGACACTCTCTCTACCATATTCGCACCTTGAAACCTCCACTTCACCTCCCTTCCATTCCCTGGCAGCCCAATCTCCATCACCGACACATCCATGTTTTTCCCGGAAGCGCCTTCTTCATAACAGTGTTTAAATGGCGCATGTCCTGTGGTCTCAGTCATTCCTATTTTCTGTGAAAACAAAGTTAAAACCCAAACAAAGATGATTACTAGACTTGATATACATTAAATATAAAACAATCCAGATATTTTTAGATTATGCATATAAATTACGTAAACACTTTATTTCTCTACATTTTCTAAACAGAAAACATCATTAAATATTGACCTAATTATAATTCGACCAATAATAAAATAAACAACAAAATACCAACATTGAAATTTTAAGAAATTTTAAATTGAAAAATATTATATAATGAAAAAAATTACCTCTAAAAATTAAGTATTAAAAACCTGAGGGAGTATTTGAATTTGAAAATCAAAAATCAAATTTATTAGTTCATCAAATTAAAAAGAGTTTTGTTATATTTAATACCGTTGCTTTAAGCGTAAAAGACTGAGCAAGAGCATTGTAGATATCAGTTTGTAGTACGGTGTATGGAACCACCGTGCTGAGCTTGGCTCCACCCTCAAGCAAACTTGGGTTCAACGGCAAAGGAACTCCGTCAACGTAGATTGACTCGACGGAGATTAGATATTTTCCCGATGCAATTTTCAACGGCGTCATAGTCATCGGAACTGGATTATTTCCACCGAACAGCGGGGTATTAAAGGAACTTGTGCTGCCCATATAGAATTTACCGATGTTGGAAGAAGGCAAGCAGAGAGCAAACTTCGGGACGACGTTAAACGCTGACGTCACCTGTCTCCAGAACGGAAACTCTCCCGGAGAAAGACCAAGAACTCCGGCGATCGGGGAGGCAAGGCCTTGGAGGTTTTTCTTGACGGCACAGGAGAACATGAAGGGGCTGAAAGAGACAAGGGAGGGTGGCTGTCCGTTCACTGTAGTGAAGATTGTGGCTTTGTCTTGAACGACACGGTCGGTTTTGGTCACAGTGTGGTTTGTGAGGAAAGGGTTTGGTTCACGGTAAAGGCAGTGTTTCCCGTCGCAGGCGTTGCCGGGGATGGATTTGCATGTGGAGCTCTGGCAAGTGACGACGCGGAGGGACGATAAAGATTTGATGTTGCGGCAGTTGAGCCAGGGGAGGTTGGTTCCGAGATCGAGGAGGAGGTTAACGGGAGACGACGACGTGGCGGATCCGGTGAAGACAATTGTGTGATATTGTTTGGAGGGTTCGTCTTTGAAGATCGGGAGAATGTATTGGGCTTCTGATATCAGAGTTATTGCGGCAAACATGGAGACGAATACGATGAGGTGCGTAAGGCCACCCATCTTTGTTTTCTAGGTTTTTTTATTTTTGTTTACTTGTTGTAAACGGCAATGAATGTGTTTTTTTTTTTTGTTTCAGATGAATTAGATGATGGACTACTGTTGATGTATGGTATTTATAGGTGTAAAATAAAATTTGTAGCTAAGAAATTGAAAATATTTAGGTAGATATTCTTTAATGTTTTGAGCACGTTTAATGTTTAAATTACATGCATTCCCGCAAATAGACACTATCAATTATGCATATGACAGATTATACACGTTACAACAGCTAGATTATATTTCAAAATTGGAGAAATGTTGGTGGATGGATCCTGGAGGATAATTTCATTAAACATTCAAGCGCTGCTCAAGTAATTTAAAAAGTATTAATATTATTCACGTAGGTACCTGAGAAATATATGATCAATTCTAGCTGGATCGTGAAATTGATAAACAAATGCATACAACTCGAGTAATAACCATCATACCTTATGTTTAAGCTCATGTCAATGCATTTCAAATTCACCAGAAACTTAACTCATTGCTCATAGATGACTTTTGACAACTAACTCATCATTTCGTGGACGGATGGTAGTAGAGTGGCTGAGCCCGATTTTGGTTCTAACAAGTTTACTTTATTGGTCAATGTGGAGAAAAAGGAAGATTCATCAGATCACAAAAGATGGATTTGGTGGATCTCATGAGATCATGACACCTTTAGAAAAAAAAAATCTTTAAGAAAGACACGTGAATGGGAAACAAAGGACTTAAACCACCTCCATCTATTAAAACCTCTAATGGGTACTTAAGATTAATTTAATATTTAATTCTGCGATTTGAAAATTTTAGTATCCCTATTTATTTATTTAATTTTTTTCCTCCTCCAATAGAAAAACTCCATAGGAATTCTTAAAAAAAAAAATTTAAAATTGAATGATTGTAAACATGAAACTTGAATTCACATTTTGTATATATACTTGTTAAGTAACTAAGGTTAAACCATACCAAATGAGTTTTTTGTTGTTGTTGACTTATTACATGATTACTGTGATTGTTTAATTTCTTTTAAGAATATAAAATTAAATAAAAATGATAGAGGATATAAAAATGTTATCAGATCTTTATTATTTAAAATCATTAATTGTCATATATTTGTTAACCATATTAGATAATCCCGTAGCTTTTATTTAAGGAAAATATAGAATATTCTTTTACACACTACTAATTACTTTGATAATTAATTTAATCTCCTATATATTAAAAGAGAAGCATTGCATTTAATGCATTCACACTACATTTGCCACGTGTCGCCTTAATAGAACTCCTCACATTTTTATTTCCATTTATGTTTATAATTTTAATATCAAACGTAAATTTTTTTGTTCTGTCAAAAGTTATCGACGAATCCGTGGAGGAAACTCCTTCTTTGTCCATGATTATCTCGATGAAAGAATTGATGGTAGTTTAGCTTTTGACGATCGTTCAACGCCTCCGAAGGATTTTACGTTTTCTTAACTTCTAATGATTTGATACGAAAGAAGATATAACATGAAAACTTCTTTTCCGGTTTCTTCACGGAGCTTCCATTAACAAAAACTTAAGGTTGCCTTTGAAAATAACAATCTTCACGAAGAGCATTTTACGACAAAGAAAGTTTCTTCATGGAGTTTGACCCACGCGAGGATAGTACAACTTCTAGGAAGGAGTTTAGGTTCTTTAATGTATAGCGTGAAAGTTTCTTCTATGGAGCTCCCATCAATACGAACACATATATAGCATGGAAGTTTCTTGTATGAAACTCCCATCAACTCTCAATAAGAAAGCAATACGAAGAATCCATAACATGAATTTCATAGACGATCTTCCTTAAAGAAGCATGAACTTGCAGAATTTGCTTCACGGTCTTCAGGGATACAAGATATTTGTATAATCATGAAGCGAAACTTGCAAAACGAGCTTCTCTCTTTTCACGGAGAAACAATACAGAGAAAACATAGCATGAACTTGCCTAAGAATCTTCCTCTCTTTTCAGAGAGAATACTGACAATGGTTTCAGGCAAATCAGTGAATTCAACATTAGACATAGAAGAAGCATTGATAACTTTCATAGCACCAACTTAACTCTCCGTTATATAAGTTTCGTTTCTATACGTGCATGATTGTATTAGAAAGATGTCAAGTATACAACATGCACATATTTGTTTCTTTCGTATCATTTTTCCCAAGTGGAAGTTTAAACCAAAATTCTTTATTAATTTGGTTAAGACATTTAAACCGAGTTAACCATCGGTTTTTGTAATTCTGATTTTGAAAACCATGCGTTAATTTTTTTAAAATGATTTTGCTACGTTTGAGTGATTAGAAAGGTTAGATTAATGATAGAAGATTTACATAGATTTCAAAAACTTTGGTTTATGGAAATATATACATTCTTGTGTTGGAAGAAAATTGTTGAACAAGACATGAATATTGACATTATTTTTATTATTGGAAATATGGCGTAACTTCCATTAGGTTTCATGTCGCCCATCTTTCTTACTCATAACCTAAAGCCAAAACCTAAACATTTTTTCATTCATTCTTCTATAAAGGATGCGATAACTGCTATGTCAGATTTGAAACCGTTCAAACCTATATGGAAGATTATGGTGAAGATCATGCGTTTGTGGAAGCAATATTCTGCAACTGGTGGTCTAACGACTGAGATGGTTCTGATCTACTCAAAGGTAGGTAACATTTACTCTTCAAATTAGTAATCTTAAGTATGCTTAATGTGTCCATATAATTTCTGACTATAATTCTTGTCTTTGTAGGGTGTTAAAATTAACGGTTCTATGAAAAAGAATATGGTGAATCAAATTATAACCAAACCGATGTCTACATTAACATACCTAATGTCTTCTTATTTTATAAATAACGAAGATAATAATCTCATCCCGTGCCTTGCACAGGTTATCACCTAGTAAAAGTATAATATATGTTAGGATGGACCAACTTATTTTCTAAAAAAAATTCAGAATTAACATAGTGATGACACGTGGCTACAAATCATGTTGTAATGCTTCAGGATTAATATATAAGAGATAGTTAAAGATAAATAAGGTAAGACCAAAAATTAATTAGCTAGTGAATAGGTCCAACAATCTTGTATAAGTAGATTTTTTAGGATTTTTTCTATTTTAATAGCATTGATTCGCTAATTTAGTACATTTCTGTTGGAAATTTTTAATGTTTAATTAATCTGAAAAATAAAAAGTAATGAAGAGAAATGAGAAGATATTTTCAAACGAGAATGGCTGATCCGCCATCGAGATCTAAGACAAGGCTATGAAATGAGTGAGAGGAGAGTGGCTGTTGTTTACGAGGTAAGGATTGTGTAGTAGAGACTCGTGGCTTTGTCTTTGATCAAAAGAAGTAAAGAAACGGTGGGCTTGTTCTTTTTAACCCCGTTCACTAGGGAAGTTCGTAGGGTTAAAGATAAAGAGTTGAACAAATTGATCGAACAAGCCAGACAGCCAGTGTTGTATAAATTTACTTTCCTGATACTGTAATTTATAGTAATCAAGTGCTCTACCATTCACGTGATGGAGTGATCCTTGGTATTTTCTAGCAAAGCTTGGACTTTGAGTTTATTTCTTTAGAAGTTTTCTACTTTTGTTATTTCCCAAGTAACTATTATGGAAACTTTTAGTATCCTCTTTTAGATTATTTAGTTTAGAATAAGACCAGATAGATAATTACAAACGTGGTACACTAATGGTAGGCAAACTTTTGGGAGTTAAGCAACTTGAATTCGAGAATATATCATTACAAATTTACATTTTGGCTTTATAGACATGAAGTCATGTGTTTATGGTTTGTGACAAATTTACATGTCACAATTCATTTTTGATTTGTGACAAAATTAAAAATTATGTAAAATAAATTTAACATTAGCCTCAAATTTGCCTATTTATTATCTAGGTCTAAATTAATTTAATTTCTACCTATATTTCAAATTTAGAAATAAATTAATTATTATTGTTACATAATAATGTTTTTTTTAAATTGTTACAAAAATACAAATTTGTAAATTTTATAATAATAATATTATAAACAATACTACAATTATTATAAAATTAGATAACATATAACATTAAACTATATTAAATATATTGATTCCTAACTTTTATTGTATAATCTAAAACATTTTAGTATGTAAAAAAATCCACACAGTCGCCGAGATCCAAGATTCATAATGTATATGTTTGCGATGAATGATACTTGACCTCATGGTTTACATGATGTGTGGATGCTTTTTCTATTGTTTATACTTTATTATGATTACTAGATGGTCATTGGTCAAAATAAACAATATATTTAGGGACCCATATATGGCCATATGAGATTTTCTGTCGAGATAGTTGTAATAAAAATACAGAATCCAGATACGACGTATCCGATGAATGATATCTGGACCACGTGGTTCACATAACGTACTTGTTTATGATCTCGTGGAAACCCTAGAAAATTATATTTTTTAAACAATATATTCTCTAGTATCATTCATAAAGTAATTTATAATGATATTTGTCTTATCACCATATTCAATTTCAACCAAAAAAAAATTGAATGACTTCAAAAAAATATGACATAGAACTAACATAATTGTGTCATATACAAATAAAAATATTATATCCCTTTATTATTAAAAAACAAGCAAATAAAAAGAGAAACCTTCAAATGGTAATATATTTACATGTGTGCCATTATGGGGATGTGGCAGATAAATAGAGCTTCTCATACTGATTTTGAAAACAGCCACACCCACCTTAGGAATTTACTATTACTGCCACTGGACGGACATTCCACATTTAATTGTCGATTCCATTAATATATAAGGTATATAACAAAGTTTTCTGGTAAATGATTTATTTGTTTTGTTACAGTCATCATTTCAATAGATTGTATTCACATGTCTTCTTTGAGGTCTTTAGTACACGTTTCTTTATTTATCCAACAATTTTCACAATTTCAAACAA